CTTACAACAAAGGAAAATGCAAATAGCTTTCAATCCTCTCCAGTGATCTTATTTTGTGGATTTTACTTTTTACAGTTATTTAGAAGAAATAATGATAACAGGAAAACTTACTGAAAATTCTCAACTGTGGAGTGAGGACAGGAAAGAGAGTTAAGAGAATCTGTGTGTAGCCCCAAACAAAAATAAATAATTTGCTTGGGTTTTCCTTTAGGATGGTGGTATCGAACACACAGTTGTACTGAACTTGGGCATTGGAAGCGTGGAGACAAAAGGAAACTACAAAAGCTGAGCTGAAAGCAAAATTGGAGAAAAAAAAAAAAGCACCCATTAGGACTGGCTGGCTAAGCCTTATTGCAGAAACTGTGGAAGAGCTGCCGCATGAAATCACAGTTCTGGGGTGGTAAAATGTCATTGGTAAGCAGCAAATAAAGCACCTGTAGTCAGGTGTTACGAGAAGCTCTGGGCTGGTTGCTCTGACCTTCGTGGTATACAAAGTTTCAGAAAAGTCTAAGCTCATGGAAGTAAATGAAAAAGGATATACCATTAAAAAAGTTTAGCCTTGGATACTCTCCTGGTGGAGTGAATCTGCTGCATTTCCTTTGTTTAGGAAAACAGCTTCTGACAGAAACATAGCTGAGTCTCAGGAAAGCACTTGAGAAAAGCTTCATTTCTTTAGCCTAGAAAAACACAGCAGAGAGGGTGAGCGCAGTCTGTAAGCCCATCAGCAGGGCAGAGAGTTGTAGTCAGAGGCCCTTCCATCGAGCTACCTTAAGGCAAGTTCTCCAAGTCCTGTAGCAGCCAGGTTAGCAAACCTTCAGACTAAGATGAATATTTCAGGGGAATAAAGAGGCTACAGGTTGATGTGGAAGAGCAGCTCTGAGGGAGAATGCTTTTTTTATTACTATGATTTGTTTAATATTATTATTCTGTCTGTCATCTGTATCAGCTCCCCATCCACTTCTCCATCTGTTTCTCTCATCTCTGAGGTCGTTCTGTGAGACCGCTTGTCCTACCACGTCTCTGCTCACAGCGAGCAGTTTCTCTGCTCTTCCCTGGCCTTTCCCTGTCTTCCCGGAGAACTCCCGCTTTGCCTCCCTCGCTTCTTCGCAGGGCTCAAACGCATCTACTGCTTCCTGGGTTTTCTCTCCCCCACCTCATGAGTGTCCTCAGTGACCTGTACGCATCGGGTGGGCGCCTCTGCCGTGACAAAGCTAACAGGTCGTTGCTGCTCACTTTCCATAGCTGCAAAGGAGGGGGAAAATTTACCCATAGTTTACAGATGTCGTTCTCCGGAGAATCTCGAGACTCCTGGGGGTGTGGGGGACTGCAAGGTTTTCTCCATGTTTCTTATGCTTTAGAGTTTCATAGCCTGAAATGGGAGGGGTCTGTGGTGACCGGCTGCAAACTTCAAGCCCAGGAAGGGCTGGATTTTGATTCTGTTGCCTGCTGGTTTAGCTTGGGGCCCATGGTAAGGCTGTGCGTGGCTAGGGTACTAAAGGACAGTTAGTTACTTACCTACTTAAGCTACAGCTCTGTCTATGCTGGAGGCCCAAGCAGGCAAAGCGTGGGGCTGGACAAGCGCTTGGCTCACTCGCGAGGCAGCCTGAGCGTAGGAAGATGTTTGCCACGGCAGGCCTAGCTATGCCAGGCACCGTGTTGGCCGCGCAGCAGTGAGAACCGATGAAAGGGTTGGCCTGAAGGCAGGATGCAAAGAGCCTAGGGGAGCCAGCCGAAGGATCACTGAAATAGTTGGAAGCAGAGAGGTGACGAAATGAATGTTATTACCCTGTAACTGCAGCATAAAACTACCACTTCAGCACAAAACTACTACCACAAGAATAGAGAAACTCATAACTGTAAATTAGCAGTAACATTGTTTAAAGAACTGTCTCATGAATGTAGATTCTCTCTGTGTAATAATTTGGATTATTATAAGGTAATCCACATATCCAAGCCCTTAAAACAACCTTCCCTCTTCCAGCAGCAGTCTGAAAAATAACTGAATCTTACTTGTTTCCTAGGATTTTCCTTTTAGATTCCTTTACCCACAGTGTAGAAACTTTGGATCTTTAAATATCATTTCCATTTTTTCTATTTTTGCTACCTAATTTTTGAAATCCAAATGCACTAGTGCAGAGGATATCAAGTTCTATGGTCCATAAAAATTCACTAATTTTCTCAAGAACGACCAGCTCTAGAGGGAGTGCTAATACAATTTAAACATCACGGGTCATAGCTGGAGTCTTGTTACTGTACTATTTTTCAGTAAACTTTAATTTTTCGGTGGTTAGATGACGGATCCATCAGTGGTGATTCACTTCAGCTACCCAACCGTATGTAAAGGTTTTTCTTCAGTCTCTGTAGCTAGTGGTATATTTTTGTTACCTGCATTCTGACAGTTGCTCGGGAATTCGTGTGTCACAGGTATCCCATTTCAAGAATGTTTGACTCATTTCCGAAAGTAGCTGGTACAAATATCTTAGGGTATTCACACTTAAACCAAACTGGACCTGCATACAATGAGAGGTGGTATAACCTAGGCTGTGGTCAAAATTTAATTCTGGCCAGCTTTTTTTTCTGTTAAGTTCTGATGTTAGCTTGACCTGCTCTCACCCAGACCTCTGTGGCTCCCAGCATAAGGAAAGAGGAGTTTTTCAAGCCTCCATAAGTGTGTGTGCTTCCCTTGCCAATGAACAGGCTATTGACTAGTGCTGCCTTGCAGTTTTAATGCTGTCACTGTCTGTGCTGGATACTGAGTGCAGGAGCCCATTTTCCCCTGGATCAATAGTTTCTAAGGCCAGTGACGTTGGCACTGAGGCAAGAGGACTTATGCTGCTAGAGACTGTGGGAGCGCCCCTGAATGGGGAGGCTCACAGGCCGTCTGAAGTTTGGGCCTTGAAACTATTCAGCTCAGCCTCTTGCACAGGATCTGAAGATATGTGGATCAGATCCATTAGAAGTTTTCTTTTTCTTTTCCTCTCCTCCTGGGTGTTGGTGGCATCCCCGAAAGCCTCTCATGCTTGGAGCCGTCAGTGCCTACCCCTAGGCTTGGGATGTCTCAGCTGAGATGGTCTGTCAGCAGCAAGCTCCAAGCGCAGGTGACTCACCTAATTGTCAGATGCTTTAGCAGAACCTCGGCTTGACAGCAGCTCATTTGCCAAAAGTGGAAAATTTGAACAAGAGTTGTCTTTCTTTGTCTTTTCTTCCTTTTACATGCAAATGCAAATAATGACGAAAGCAATCCACAAGCAGCTGCAGGTGAACCTGTTGAATTTGGTGCACGTGTACACAGCACCCCTAGGCATCCAACTTCTGAAGGCGGGGTTGGCAGAGAAATGCACTAGAGAGGGTAGATCTCAGAGGTCACTTAAAACAAGAAGCGATCTATTATAATGCAGATTTCCCTTGTTCCTCAAAGGTGTTACAAACTTGGAGTTCTTCTCAGGCCTTTTGGAGAGCAGTAATTCAGCTGTCCCTGCTGGATTAAAATATATGACTCGACTAACAAGCGGCCGCACATCGACAGAATTATTTTGCCAAGCAGCAACTGGCAGAGCAGCTCTGTCGAAGGGAGGGGGTGACTACAAAGAGCAGCCAGGAGGAAGCTGTGACGTACCATGCATAACAATCCTCCTGCTCTGCGCTGATCTTTGAGGAACATCGCGGCAGCATGCCTGAGGAAGGCAAGCCTCCAGTTAGCAAGCGAGAGCTGCAACTGGCTCAAGGGGCAGCAATGACAGAAGATACTGAGCTGCTGCGCAAGAGAAAGGCGAGGCACCGTGTTATTGCTGTGACTAATAACAAAATTGCTGCAGGTTTTTATAGTTAAGCTGTTTTTCCTATGAGCTGTGGTAAGCTGGTTAGTCCAACTAATCTGCTTTTAGCACTCAGATGTGAAAGAGAGATGTGAGCAAAGCCTCACTTGCCCTCTAATCAATACAGAATTAAAGAAAGAGCCACTTAGCATAATTTTGCCCTCTCCAATAATAATGATGTCTGCAGGTGCTTTGTTAACCAAGTTATGGGGGTGGGGAAAGGATGCATACATGTGTGCCATGATTACTACAGCTTTGTGGTGGCTATTTAATCCATATACTGAGACAGAAATGCTGGGCTAGCAAGTCACTTAGGGATGCTTTTCAGAATCACTTTCACATTGGTTTCCTCAGCAGCCAACATGTGCGTACACCCAGCTCAGTTTCAGAGCCACCAGCTCGTTTATCACTGTGCTCTTATGACCCTTCGGAAGTACAGCAGCAGAGCACCCCTACTTAGGACTAGACTTGCCTCCCTGTTGGTTCAGGTGTCTTACCTGGGGGCATCTTCCCTGTGTATTTCCTAGTTCCAAATCCTAAGGAAATGCTAGTTACAGGAATTTTCCTCCTCCTCCTCCTCTCACCTAGTTTTTTTTTTCTTGGTAACTTGGATGCTTACTCTAGTCTTTTCCAAGCCTCTGCAACTCCCTAGGAGCTTCACAGAGGACTTGCTTGAAGGATGGCATTTATGGCTACCACATAATTTCAAGGACATCAATTACATCGTTACCACATAGTAACGAAGAGTTGCACCCAGGTCAGGCTGAGGAATGCGTCTCCAAGCTGAAGCAGTAAGTGACTGTATATGTTAAAGTGCTTCAAGTGCAGCCTGAGCTCTTAACAGAGCTGTGTTTGACCCAAGTGTGTCTCATGCCTTGCCTACAGGTGCTTAGTAAGCAGGATGGATCAGCAATTTCATGAGCGGGCTTGTTCTTGAAATAAACACTTTCAAGCTGGAGGAACAAGAACCCCTTTCAGGCGGAGAGTAAAGGAAAGTATTTATTTCTCATACGATAAATACTCAAATGATAAGAAGCAGTTTCTATTTCTTAATTTGTGCAGGCACACTTCATGCTTCTGACTGCAGACCAGGGCAGCAGTAGTCTGAAGGGAAGTATTGTTTTACTTGCATGCTACAGTTTTGGTGACCATTCACAGAAGCATATGCTGAAATCTCACCTTAACTAATCTACAAAAGGTGTATTTGCTTTTTGCACTTGTTCTGTTAAGGACTGCATGTTCCATATACGGCACAAGAGGACTAAAAGTAACTAATGTGGCTCAAATCCATCTTGCAGGCTTCCAGTGTATAATAATTGACGCTTCCTCAGTGCAGTGATGCATTTACTTTTCTTACACCAAGCCATAGCTAAGGCAACGTTCTCAAGCCAACACTCAGTTTGAGCTTTATTTTTAGAAACAAAAAAAGTATACAAAACTGTGGGAGATATGTAAAGCACTGGAAAAAATACATGTATAAAAAAAACAATTAGAAGGAAGCATAATCTAGTTGACCTTCAAGGTCATTTCCATATTGCAGTAGGAAGCTTTGCATGCATACAAATTGGAATTTAATCACTTTTTAGCCAGTCGTTTCATATAACGGTAATCGATAAGAGTGAAGAACAGACTCATGACTTTTTACTCCAATGCTAATTCCATCTAATTACAAAGTTTGAGTTAGGTTTCAGGGAATTCTTGCCCTTAGCTCAGTTCTACTCCAGAATGGAGGCCACTATCAGATACTGGTAGAAAAGTCACAGGCTGAGAGCAGTATACTTCTCTGCGATTGAGAGGATCCTTGTAAGTCAATCAGGAGAGCCACGTCTCTGGCCAAGTCACATGCATGGTAAGTCTGACTGTCAACAGGCCACTGTTTACCCTAGAAACTGCTCCTCAGGGAAATCACTGCACTCCGATGGGGGGAACCCTCCCCTAAACGTAAAGGGCCGGAGGGGCTGCCTTGCAAGCAATGAGCTTAGTCTCTGGAGGGAGCTACTGAGACCAGAGTTTCAGAGGTAAAAAACTGAAGCCTCTGCCCTTAATTCTTCATAAACAAATGAAGGGGAAAATGAAGGTGGCCATAATTGTGAGCAGCAGAGACATCAGAAACGCAAGGACTGAGCTGTCTATCTTAGGGACTGAATTTCTGGTTATAGGGTTTATCTCGATCGGACTCTTCTGAAGCTGCAGTAGTGATGGCTGGGATGACACTATCTGCTCCTCCCAACAAGCTGAAATGGCTGCAAGGGCACCCAGAACAAGTTTCGACAGAAATTGTTCTGCTTTGGGTTCAGGAAGAGTCTGTTAGCAGAAGCCTTCTCTAGGACTGGTGACCTTTTGCTGTGCCTAATGGAAAGTCTAGACCACGTGACTAAAGGTCTCCAGGCTGCTCTTCGATATCCGTTCAAAAAGAAACATCTGCTCTATGCTTGGGGGACATCCCTTGTGTCACACCTGAGGAGGATCTCCCTTTCCTTCAGAAAATGGCAAGTGCAGGAGCACTCACACAGCTTTGATGCTTGCAATCACACAGGCATAATTTCTCTCAGCTCTGGGAAACCCTGTGTTTTAGCAGAGATGCTGTTGTAACAGGGCTGGTTGTGGGTAAAGGACGTGCAGCTTTGGCTAATTTGGTACTACTGTAACCGAGGGGGGGTCTGTTCTTTTTAAAGCTCTTAAAACACTACTCCTGCTACATCTTTACTCTTGCAGGAGCTGATTGCCTGAACACCAGAGAATGAAGAAAACTAAATAGGTTTACCATTCAGATGGACCTGGAATATCTCCTTTTGTAGCAGAAAAGAACAGGCGGCAGACTGAACAAGTCCCTTCAAGGTGGGATGCACCCCCATAACAGAGGTAATGTTACATGCTTTAGCGCTAATACAAGGTAGAGAGCACTAAAAGCCCAAGAGGAACTGTAAGGTCGTATTTGATTAAAAAGAAAAGCTGGTCCTTAAGAAAAGACTGGCCTCCCTGCTCCCTCTTCAAAAAAAAAAAAAAAAACTCCTGAAACTAGCAAAGGAAATTGTTTAAATCAGGAATTTTAGATTAAGAAATTCAAAAGGAAAAGCAGACTTTGCTACAGTAAGTAGAAAAAAATGGTTTAAGGCTGAAAAATTGCAGTCAGTGAGAACAGCAGAAATATTCTAGCTTAAACCAGAAAGCAATCAAAAAGAAATGATGAGCATCCTGCCCTTCATGGAATAAAACAAGTGGAGAGTATAACCCAGTGTGCCTTTGGACAGAAGCTGAAAGAGTTTGGGATTAATGGATTGTGCAATGTAGGAAAAGGAAAGTTTTCTTTAATGTGTCGAAACAGGCAGCAAACCATTGGAAGGAACAAAAATGGTCTTCACTGTATGTGAAATACCTATTCTGAGATGCAGCATAATAACAATATAAACTCAGTTGCTGTTTTATAAATATAACATAATTCAAAATGCTTTATAATTTCTCCCTGTCCCCTGCCATAGCCAGCAGTGTTTCTGGTTTAATTGCTGAATTTGCAACCCGGAGTCAATTAAATGAGCTTACAGTTTTAGCACGGTGATCATATATTTGGTTTGGCACATTCTTCTGCAGAGGGGAAGTACATCCAGTGTAGAGAAGCCGTTAACCTGTGAACCGTCTTAAAAATCATTCACGACACCAAACCTCCGTGTCATTCTCAATTTGCCGCGTACGTACGCTCCCATTCAATTCCAACGTGCGAGAAGCAGTACAGGAATCCATGAACAGACAGTGTTGCCCATGGCCAGCCTATAAATAGAAAGACAGACAATCCTAGTCAGAATAATTAATGAGTGCTACGAGTAGAAACAGTTTCTTGGAACTTATGAGGCTTCTAATTAATTTAATGACCAATTTAATATTATAACTAGAGCCAACCCACAAAAATCTGAAAAGGGAGATCTGGATTGCCCAAGCTCTTCTCAGCAGAGGCTGACCCATTAGAGACTGGATCTTATCCATTTTCAGGGAACTGGATCAGGTTCGTTTCTGGTCAGTACCTCAGAATGATACTTACTGATGTAAGGATGTCTATTTTAATCCTCTCCTTTGTGGCTGGTTTGTCTATCAGGCAGATCCCTGATTGAACCCTGACATTCAAAGCTGGCTGTGATGCTTCCCAGGAACAAAGGGATGCCTAGCCATTATGTGAGTTATTAAAAAATCAGAACAAATCATCACCAGGTACCTGTTCTGCAAAAAAGGCTGAGGAAACCTCTGATTAAAGCTGTTTTGGATATCCTGCAGCTGGGTGTAAAACTGATGTGCATATTCTATAGCCCTGTAAGAGCTAACAGGGTCAAAGTACTATTGTGCGGGGTGCAGAACAGGCAGTCCTCTTTGCCGGATGTGTTTTTTCTTAGATTTTTTTTAATTATTATCTTCTTTTAACTGAAAAGAATAATCCCACTCCCCTAATATACTCAACTTTTGCTGGGGAAAGAAATGACATGTTTTGCCATTACTTCCAATTCTTTTTAGTGAGAGTCACTTGAACTTTTAACACTTAAAGCAGTAACAGGGGTTGACAAGCCAAGATAAAGGGCTATCACTTTCCAGTGGTGCTGTAGCTCACTTCTTTTAAAAAAAAAAAAAAAAAGCGCTACATTTCTAGTCTTCTAAATAGGATAAATGAATTTGCTCTTCTTGATACCTTCTGTGGCACCTCTGTTCCCTTCTTTCTCCTTTCTCCTATCTTAGGCTTTATGGCCCCTCCTCCCAGAGGCTGAAAGCCCCGGTATTAGTTCCTCTCGAAGCTTTTGGTTTATTGGGAGGACAGGGTTTGGGGTGTGTCTTTTTGTTGTGGACATAAGAATTTTGGTTAGCTCGATGGGAGGCTCCTGTGTGAGGGCCTTGCTGTCCTCTAAGCAGGAGCAGCTGCTTTTGCAAGAAGGGCTTCAGTGCTCCCTTCAGGAGAAAACTGTGGGCTCAAGGAACCTCCTGGTAGGAATAAAATTCTTCATTCAGCTTTGAAAAGGATGGAGGGAGGATGGGGCCTCTCCACAACATGTTATCCAGGAAGCGCTCTTTCTGAAGGTATGCTGACAAGGGATTTTGCAGGCTGCCTTTGTCCAGGCTTCAGGCCAGTTCCATTCTGGAAGAAGTTTAATTGTGCTAATATCTAGCTGAGCCTTAGCTTAATAGCCTGCCCAACAGCAGGGCTTGCCAGCTTGGGCTCTGGTCTGCACTTATGGGGCCTCCACAGGCTGTAAACCCTCCTCTGGGCTCTGGGAGCCCAGGCAATGTAATACTTCACGCTGGAACAGAGCCAGAAAGGATTATTTTTCCCCTGAGAAGAGCTATGTGTTTCACAAATCTCTAATAATCCCATCCTTTTTTCTTGGTGATGCATGTGGTGTAGGAACCTGAATGACTGTCACTGAGACATTTTACAAATATTAACCACTTGTCTTCAAAATAGCTAAAAGCAAAGCTATATCTTTTGCTTAATCATTCGTTTAAAAAAACAAATATCTCCAAAAGATTTTTTTTTTAACACCAAAATAACTTTTTTTCTTCAGTACAATTAGGCTATCGCACACTGGGGTGAGTAGGTTTCATCTTCAGTAGTAAGATAAAGCACAGCTAGGCTTTGTTTCCCATCAGATTTTACATAAAAATATGTCAATAGCTGTAATAAAAACATACCTTTTTCCTGACAGCAACATTCTGGTGCAATATTCTTTATATAGACAGAGCCAGAAAGTTTTGAATGGACAGATACCAGAAGTGTGTGTCTTTAATTTTAAGAGTGCTTTAGGAAATCTTGCTAGATACATGTTTAGCATTTGTAAATACTTGAAGAACTGACACACAGCAAATGAGTCAGCACTAGCCTCCAGTGTGGCTTGTTCCTTGCCCCAAGGCACTGCACCACATCCTACTATATAGGAGATCTTGGCAGAACACCTAGGTATACAACGGAAATCCTCCCTAGATTTCTCTAGATTTACACTAAAATTCCACCTCAGTGCCCATGACACGTGTTTAATGGGCAATCATACCACTGTAGCCGGTGTGTGGTAATCCTCCTGGATGCAGGGAGCTTCTCCTATACAGTAAGAGGTGCCAGGGACTGCACTCAGCCGATTATCTCCTCCTGATCTAATTAAGCTGAGAAGGAAGGAGGCAGAAAAAGTAATGAACTGTGGGAGATGAGACAAAGAGGAATTTTTTGTTTAATCTTGCAGCAGCTGTTCTAGGCAGAGCTGCCCGGGTCCCGGCACGCTTGCTGCGCTGCACGGCCGGGAGGCAGCGGTGTCAGAACTGTGGGCGCCTCGGTCTCACCGGCCCTTTCTTGCCTTGCTTTGAACCACGGGCAATGCTGCTGGGGTGAGGAAATGCATATGCCACTTCCACTGTGAATAAGCAAACCCAAGGTGCACCTCCTGAGGTGCTTCTGCTCAGGTCCAGGCAATCCCAGACTAATTACATTCTGCTCAGTGCAGATTTGCACAAGGGTGTCCACACCTGAAAAGTGGCTCAAAGACAGCCTGAAGCAAGCAGGAGATCCTTAAACTGTTTTCACTTGTCAATTTTATGTACTGATTGGATAGATAATAAAATTTCTTGAAAAGACTTAAAACAAACTTGGTTTCCAGTAAGAGACTTGCCATAGGGAAAGGCACCTCCAGCAACATTAACCTCGCAAGGACATTAGTTCAAATTCTGTTTAGCGTTGTCTTATGCACGTGCCCTGTGTGTGATCCCTCTGTGTAACCTCTATAATCAAACAGCAGCAGGAGCTGCTCTTTCACAGAGTAACTTCACAGGTACCTTTTCCTTGCTGAAACAGTTTGTCCTTGTAAACCCAAACAACCTAAAGGTACTGATGCGCTTGGATCTCCGATGGCATGTTTTGCCCTTCTGCCCAGAGCATGCGTTGCCTTCCTCCTATGGGCCTTTTGATCTCCCTCATCCTGATCTTACCCCCCCCCCCCCACCCAAATTCAAAGGGCTCTGCCTTCTGATGGCTCCCCAGCATCCTCTTACCACCCTAAAGCGCTAAATCTTCATGGAGAAAAATGTCCTTCACATTGTGATCGTTTCCTAGCTCAATGCAGAAGTGTACATATGTGCATTCTAGATCACTGTTGTTCTATAAAATGATGAAGTTTCATGAGACAACTCAGATTTTCACCTTTTTTTTTTTTTTGTGTGTGTGTGGAAAGATGAATTAGTATTTATTAACATATGCTGTTTATAAAGCCAGGAACAAATTAATATGCTATTTGCAAATCCAACAATATTTGTAAGCTCTACCTGCACAAATTTCTTTTAAGATGGTTGGACTTCCCTTGTTATAGAGAAGCACTGAGTGAGGAAGTATTTATGGAATCACAACCAAATTCTCTAATTATACGGGTACAGTGCTCCATGAAACTCAAATATAGACTTCTTTGGAAGGAGATGAAGAGGACTGTGTAGTCTGTGGTGAGTAACAACAGCGCTTTAGCTGTCTGTAAGGATGTATCAGGCAACCTACTTTTCCCTAAGAAGTCCCCAGTCCCAACTGTGCGGGAGATAGCTAGTGCTCTGTCGCACACAGCTGATGATATACTGTTCAGTATTCTTGCTGGTTTAAAACCCCATCTTAGGTGTTACCAGTATGTTTATGTACTCAACTCTCAGCATCACAAATAAGAAGCTTGCTTTCATTACCTGGTCATAACAGAACTAATACAAACTAATTCCAAGAGTAACAGCTTTCAGAGTTGCTCCCTTTGAACGTCCCAGCTCCGCTTAAAAAAAAAAAAAAAAAAAAGTGCTTCTGGCCACTTTGCAAGCATGTCTAAAAAAGCCATGTTTCTGGCACATTCGGGATATTGAATTGAAGGGCGCAGAATAAAACCAAGCTTTCAAGTAGCAGTTTGGCTCACAGCTCTCATTACCTCACTTCAAAGCAGCTGAAACATTTAATTCAATTCTTGTATCCATGATGAAACACTTTCATATGGCCTCATCACAACATCACACACTCCAATCTGTAAGATTTAAGAGCAAGGGACAGTAGTTGCATGTTGCATTTTAAAAAAATAATTGCCTCAGTAGCTTTGGAACCTGAATGCTATTTTTCAAATGTGACTTGGGCACAGTCCTCAAAAGCACAGAATAGCTACGAAGTCAACAGAAGTAAGGAGGCGGCAGCTCTCTCTGAAAAGCTTGTCTTCCGGAGCTTGCATTTTACTGTGATTTTCATTTGTAAGTACCTAAGTTGCTGTGAGATCTAGCATTTGGGAAAATTTATCCTTAAACAAAACATGGCAAAATACTGAAGTAGCTACCCTGTAAAGCAGACTTAAAGAAAGACAAGTGTGGGGAGGAGGAGGAACGGGCACCAATTTGTCAGGCAGGATAAAAAGCTAAAGCAAATCAGTATCTCTTTCTTACCTACAATTACTAGCATCCTTACAAGTTTAGTATCACTGTCATATTTTCAGGGAGGAAAAAACCAACACATTCAAAACTAAAGCTCAGTTGAAATAAACCTATTAATTATCTAGCCCAACCTTTGAAACAGAGGATAAACTACAGATTTTTTTTTTTTCCTAGTACTATTTGTCACTTCTGGGTGGACTGATGCTGCCCATTACCGCAGGACATGTCCAACAGGACACATTACAAGCTCTGTGTACTCTAATACCGGATTACAATGTTCAGGGATTTGGAAAAGGAAACTCCACCCATTTTCAGCTGTGTTATCACTCAACAGGTAGATGTGGGACTAAATGATAAAAAGCACATCACAG